ACGGAAATAAGTTTTCTGTAATAATATATACGTTACTTTATTAACTTCGTGATAATTTGTGTAATGACTTTGAAGGCATTGCTTTATAGGGGAATTTATTTTAGCAGCATTTCAAATATAAGCACGTAAACAACTTAATCTTTACTCAGTTAATTGACCACGTAATTATTTTTTTTTGTAAAATTCTAAGAGCACTATACTTTTTTTATTCTACAAACGCCATTGCTTTCAAAGAAATGGTTTTCGCTGGCTGTAAGATTATGTTTTCTCTCCGACGCATGAAATAAATAAACACTTGTCTGCCTAGCTTCTAAATAATATTTTAACTTGTCTTCTTTCCCTCATTTCATCATATCTTTAAAGCTAAACAAAATTTATGTAGTTATTTTTATCTTATTGCATACTAATTTTTCTTTAGATTGAGGCACAACGTGCCATTCAACTCAAGCGGGGCTCAGCTATTCCAACTGAACAAACTAATAAGCTTGTAAATGTTCTTAATCGAGTGCTTGATTCAAGTCTCAAAGAAGTGGCTTTCTTAAAGCAAGAACTAGAGGGAGATCTGGCCGATCGCCAAAACAAGTCTCAAGGAAATAAAGATGATCTACTTACGCTCGTCTCAGCAATAACCACGGGTAAAGGACTCAAAAATCCATCCACTTCGACTATGAAATAAGACTCCTGCTACAAGTTACTAATGTATATTTTCTCAAACCACCACTCGTTATTTTGTAAATATTTAATTTTTGCTGGACTATATATCGTTTTTTATTACCTTCTTTGCTTCTTATTCAAATAAAGAAAATTAAGGCTTCTACTTAAGCGATATTTTAAGTAATTATCAAATGCCTTGACTTTTGCTTATGCATCCCTACATATTTGGTACTTAATACATTTTACACGTTATTTGCACTTTTTGTTATTGAGTTACACTAATTTCGACTGGCTTATTATTTGTCTGTTAGGGGGTTTGACTACGATGAATTAAAATGTTTGTTACACCGGTGAGCATGGCCTTCAAAATCAATACTTGATAGGCAATCTTGTGCTATTAAACTCGTAACCTCACTGATCACTAATTCAGGTGCTCGTACTGATGCACAAGATCACTCAAATCTCACTTAGTCTGGCCTTGAAAGTCACGTCCCACCTGTGACCCACTGGCATATATGTCAGTGGAGCATTGTGGTAGCATGCCCAGTATAAGCACTGCGTTGCTCGGTTCTGATTACTGTTTGGGGTACTAATGAGGCTAATTCGAAGCTATAGTCCACCCTGGATGAGAATTCCTAATGGGCGACAGGTTTGTGAATTTTAATAGCATCATATCAATGAGGAAGAATTCAACTGCTGGATATGAAGAACAAGATGATGTGGCCTCTGTTTTCTTCGCAGTCTCCTTTTGATGTATAGAAGTGATCTCACCTCGTTTTC